GGGATTGGATCATCACAGGTTGCTATGAGACAGCACGTAGTCCATGGGTTGCGTTTGTGGGAAAGATAGTAGCTCCGGAGCATTCGGGAATGCCAATTCCGGCCTCCTCACGAACTTTAACAGCTCTAAGGCTCCCAAGGAGGGCTTCGTGATGGTGGATGACTTGAGCGGGGATTTGAGTGATGATGGTGGGGATAAGCTGGGAGTTTCTGATGCGGACATTGGGCTGCCGAGGCTAGCAAGGCTCTCTAGTCAGTATCTTCCTGCCAGTGGCTGTAAGATTACGCAGGTTCCAGATGGCAATTTCGAGCTCCGGTTCTCGTTCCTCTCGCAGAGGGGCTACTATCCGGAGGCTTTGGACAAGGCCAACCAAGACAGTTTTTGTGTACATACTCACTTCGGGAAGAATCCCAACGACCATTTTTTCGGCGTGTTTGATGGCCACGGCGAGTTTGGTGCTGAGTGCTCGCAGTTCACGAAGAAACACTTGTGTGAGAATCTGCTCAAGCATGGCTGCTTCACCGCTGACGTTGTCCAGGCCTATCAGTCGGCTTTTATCACCACGAATCTCCAGCTCCACCGCTCTCAGGTTGACGACTCCATGAGTGGTACCACGGCTATAACAGTTCTTGTCCGGGGGAAGACTCTGTACGTTGCAAATGTTGGTGATTCCAGAGCCGTGCTTGCTGAGAGGATCAACGGTAAGCTGACTGCGGTAGATCTTTCGAGTGACCAGACTCCTTTCAGGACTGATGAGTGCGAAAGGGTCAAAACGTGTGGAGCTAGAGTGCTCACACTGGACCAACTTGAGGGCCTGAAGAGTCCTGCTTTACAGTGCTGGGGTGGGGAGGAGGACGACGATGGGGATCCTCCCCGCTTGTGGGTGGCAAATGGAATGTACCCGGGGACAGCTTTTACAAGAAGCATAGGTGACACAGTTGCTGAACGGATTGGAGTGATTGCCGTGCCGGAGGTGGCATCTTTCGAGATCAATGGTACGCATCCCTTCTTCGTCCTCGCAAGCGATGGCGTGTTTGAGTTCCTCTCAAGCCAGGATGTTGTCGACATGGTAAGCCGTAGTGATGGTTGGAGACTAGCATTCTTAATCTAATGGCATTCGGATTTTCAGGTAGCGAAACACAAGGATCCACGTGATGCATGTGCGGCGATTGTAGCTGAATCATACCGTTTATGGTTGCAGTATGAGACCCGTACTGATGATATCACAATCATTGTTGTGAACATTGACGGCTTGGAAGAGGTACAAGCTTACTTTATTTGTGTGTGCATTTATGACTTCTCTTCTTCTGTCGCAGGAGAATCACAATCAAAATGCGGTTTTCCACTGTAAAGGTGCTGAGCTCCCGTTTAAGCCGCGGGATTACAGTGAACCCGCAGAGCAGGTGCGTCCAGCGAGCCATGAAGTGTCTGCTGCAAAGCTGCGAGCAATTGAAGCTTCTCTAGAGCATCAAACAGAATGGGTGCCGCCGTCTGAGCAGCAGATAAAAACCGATGAAGAGAAGGTTTGCTCGTCTTATTTGTAAGCTGGTGTAAAAGCTTGACTCTGGTTAAGACTTCAGGCGCGAATCAAGCATGCTTTACAGGGCAACTTTCTCTTTCACAATCTCACAGAGAAACAATGGGAAACGCTGTACAATTGTTTTGAAAAAGTACAAGTTCAACCTGGAAAGATTATAATTCGTCAGGTAGATCATCCCGTAATCATAGAGTGTTTACGAGAAATGCTTCTATCAACAGGGGGCCGAAGACGATCACTTCTACATCGTTGAAAGCGGCAAGTTTGACGTGTTGGTGGCTCAGGTAAAAGTTAAACGCGATAAAACAATTCTGGCATAACCGGCCAACGTGCAGGATGAAAATCAAAGCGAAGATGACTTGGGAACAATTGTGAACCAGTACACTGCTTACAATAGCCCTTGTTTTGGAGAGCTGGCATTGATGTAAGTCGCTTTCTCGAGCATTTCATATTTTTTACTCAACACTTTGGATGCTTATGCAGGTATAATAAGCCCCGTCAGGCGTCTATTCGCGCTGTTACCGAAGGTACACTGTGGATGCTGGGTCGAGAAGCATTTAGAGGTTTACTGTCGATGAACACTCGAAGATCCGCACTGAAACATCTGCGGGCTGTAGAAGTCCTTGCGACGTTGAATATAGCGCAGCTTGTCCGTCTCGCCGATTCATTATCGGAAGTTAGCTTTCAGGACGGGGCAGTGATAGCACAGAAGGTACAGTGACATTAGGTGTAACCAACGAGATACTGAGTCGTTTGTTTTCTTACGCAGGGCGCTGAAATCTCTACTTTTTATCTCTTACGGAAAGGTTTTGTTGATGTAAAGCACCATGGAGCTTTAGAAAATCTGACCGATAGAAAGGGTGAGGGGGATTACTTTGGCGAATGGGTGCTACGGGGTGAGCCTTCACGTTCTTTGACCGCAGTTGCAGTTGGTGATGTTGAGTGCTGGGCTATAAGCAGGGAAACTCTCGAGAAAGCTGTTGGCCAGCTGGACCGAGTCATCGAAGACAACATGAAGTATGGTGCTCTCGCTGCTCGGTGTGTCTGCGCTCTAACATTTACGTTTTCAGGCTGCGGGAGAAGATACTCTCTTTGAGAAAGCAGCAATCTGCAAAGCTGGAGACTCTGTCGATAACTAGTGATTTAGGAGACTTGGTAAGTTTGTACGAGTCTACAGCTTTTGCAATTTAAAAAGTACGACGTCCACATGCAGGAATGGCAAGAAACTGTATACACGACAGATTGCTGCGAGGTTGGGCTGGTTAGTTTAAAGAAAACAGGTAATGCTACAGTTCGTGTGTTTTTTTTGTTCCTTTTACTTCATGCGTTGTCTCTCTTTGAAGAGCAGGACAGGTTTTTAGCATGAAGCGTTATCCCTTGGAAGTTATCAAAGCACTCGGAAGGGAGTCCCAAGTACTGCAGGAAAAGATTCTGTTTCAAGACTTGAGCCCGTCTTTGTACGTGCCGCAAGTGGTATGCACTTCTGCGGATGAGAGGTACGCTGCAATGCTTCTCAATTGCGCGTTGGGGGGGCCGCTGTCCCTGATATTGAACACGCCGCTCTCGGAAGACTCTGCCCGGTTTATTGGTGCTTCTGTCGCCATGGCGATTGACTCTATGCATAAGGTACATTTTGGTTTCTTGTTGGAAATTCTTTTCCATTGATTCATTGCTTCGAGTCCAGGATGGAGTTGTTTACCGTGGAGTATCTCCAGATATGCTTATGCTGGATAGAAAAGGACGACTACAGGTGACTAACTCTCCTCTCTTTTTCCTTGTGTATCTTACCAATTTATTTTCTGTCATGGTGACGTGCAGCTTGCTGATTTTCGGTTTGGCAAAAAGCTGTTAGACGAACGAGCTTACACTATCTGCGGCATGGCTGATTTTCTCGCCCCCGAGATTATCAGAGGTCAAGGTCACGGCTTTGGTGCTGACTGGTAAGAACAAGCGTTGTTTTTTCATGCTTTTTCTCGGCAAATGTGTATGATATTTCTTTCAGGTGGGCTTTGGGAGTGCTCTTGTATTACATGGTACAGAACGAGCTGCCGTTCGGATCGTGGCGAGACAGCGAGCTGGACATTTACAGCAAGATTGCCGGTAGGCAGCTAGTCTTCCCTTCCACTTTCAGCGGCGAACTCGTTGACTTGATCGACAAGGTATTCATTGATTCATTTATTCCAAGCCCAGTAACTTCTTTGTGTTTATTTCTCCAGCTGCTGGTCGTGGACGTCTCCCAGAGGCTCGGCAGCCGAGGCATGGAGGAGATCAAGGCCCAGCCGTGGTTCGCCGGCCTCGACTGGGAGGCGCTGCTCGAGTGCCGCACGGACGTGCCTTTCGAGGTGTTAAGTCGGCTCCAGTCGGCATTGAAGACGTCACGGGCGGACGACAGCCATCATCTGCTCATCAGTCCCTCGGCTACATCCGAAGAGTCGAGCACTGCGCCGCAGTGGCTGGAGAACTGGTAGAGTGGCGCAGGAAAGCTTTCAGCAATCACAACTCGCAGGGCCTGGAGTGGTGGAGTAGCGAGGAAAGCTTTCAGCAATCACAACTCGCAGGGCCTGGAGTGGTGGAGTAGCGAGCAAAATCCTTTCAAGCTCCAGGCAGAGCTCTACCTCTCGCCAGCTTTGGCAGACTCGCGGCGATCCAGACACAAGAGAGACAAAGAGGATAAAGAGCTCGTAAGTTTCTCGATGGAACGGGAGAGGCGTATGTTCTTCGGCCGGTCACTCTTTCCGTGCTTAAAGCCTAAAGGTGTGGAAATAAACTCGGGTTATGTGTTTAAGGTGGATGTGCCGGAGTGGTTATCGGGCATGACTCGAAATCATGTGGGCTTTGCCCGCGCAGGTTCGAATCCTGCCATCCACGAGTTTGTGTTTTTCTAAACCATTATTTTGCTGGTGATCTCCCACTTTTATCTGTCAGAGACGAATTCAGCCCTTGCAACTTGCGAGCAAACACTTGCATGCAGAGACAAATGCGTGTGGCCGCCGCGTGAGAGAGATCGAAAAAGTCAAAGGAATCGAACAAAGTCGTGTCGTATCGTATCATCGCCATGTACATCAAAGCTTGACAAAATATGATGCCCAAAAGCACAAGGGAAAAGAAGCTCTAGAAAGTAAAAGAGAGAGTTCTAAGGATTGGATCGCAGGTTGTGAGCACTCAATCGTTTCCTCGTCCTCGCCACCCGTGCGTCGAGAGAAAAAAAGAGAGAAAAGAAAGAGGAAAAGAAGAAGGCTCAAGATCTTGCCTTTCGAAACCTGTTCTTGAGCCAGCTGAAAACACCGCCTCCCCTCGACGACGAAGACTTTGCCGAGGACTTTGCACTGGTGCGATGGTGGTGCTGACGGTGGCGATCGTCGTCGCTGTCCGGGGCCATGATCGTCTTCTTGGTGATCCCATCGCCCTTTCCGCCCCTGGTGTTGCTACTGCTAAATCTCTGCGCCGGCTCCACCGGGTTGTTAAGTCCAAGCGTGTCGGCCCAGCTCCGGCCTGACGATCCCTGCCTCCTGATCGACACCCCCCGGCTGAGAGAAGCCATCACCGACGACGGCGACGTTGATTCCTGGTGGTGATCCACAGCTGCGTGGAGAGAATTCACTGCCTGAGGTGGCGTTGCGGTGGAGTCGAGTTCGTGATCTTGGTGCTGGCCTGCGAATGCGAAAGAAAACTCAGCAAAAGGATAAAATCAATCGCAACTCAAACTCCGAGGAAGAACAAACCGACCAGGAGAAAGCATTTCAATTCTCTCCCAGAAGCCAGTAAGCACAAGAAAAAGGGAGGGGGGGAAGAGAGAGAGAGAGAGAGGAAACAAAGAAGAAACCATACCTAGTAGATTCACTACGAACGCTGCTTCTCTCTCGGCAAAAAACGAAAGAACACCCAACTCCACAAAGGAGGAGAGAAATTTAAGCAAAGCACAAGGAGAGGAAGTCCCGCGGTCCCTGACAAGGAAAGAGAGGTCTGAGCCGCTGGAGCGCGAGTTAAATCGGCCCCACGGTACCGACAATCGCTGCCATCGCCGTTGCGTTGACGCACAGGACAAGACTTGCGCCCAAATCTAAAACCCACCTCGTCGCGATCGATTGAATGCTCCCTTGCTCGTGTCTTGCCGCGGAGAAAGAATCAATCAACGCTCGCCGCGGTCGCGATTGCCTAAGAGGTAAAGTAGGTCTTTTGCCGCAGTAAACATGGTTAAAATTCCGAATTGTCGAGGAAAATGTAAAAGAAATATAATTAAAATAGAACCTAAGATAAAAAGTGGTTTAAGTTTTTCTTATAATAAATTATGTGAAGAGGCTAACCAAGTATTAAACATAGCAAAGGTGAATTATAAAGACTCTTGAATTTATCATTTTAGTGCAAGTATAGATGGATGCATGATGCTCATTTTGGAAACCATGGCAGAAATAGTTGACAGTAATATCGTAGCATGGCTATAATTTTAAGTGGTTTTTAATTAAATTTTATAAAAGTAAGTGTAGCTAGTCTTTGGCTCTAATAATGGCTGAAACCAATTCACAATAAACACAATTTTGAAATTAGATTTTTATGACCATGATGAATTTCTTTATGTAATTTGAGATTGACAATTGATTTATATATATATTTAATTAATTATAACTTTAATAAATGGTTTAATTTTTTAAAATTTACTACAAAATGTAAAACTTGTGATTCATTGTATTGGAGAGAACAATAGTAATTTTTAAAAATAATATTCTGTAAGCACAAATATATGGATAAAACCCTTCTTCTACAAAATTATTTTTATGTTGTATATAACATTCCAAAAAGTAGAAATTTATAACATGACTAACTTTACTTATAAATATATATGATTGTATCAATTTTTTGGTTTGCTTAAACAAATCTGTAAGGGTAGTGGATATACCAAGAATATTCTTGGAAATTCTACGATATTCTACCATCTAAGGGTTGTTATTCATTTAGATTAATCTTGTGTTTATAAATTACAAACATGCTTATAATTATAAACTTTATTTCATCATTTGGATTAATAAGAAGGAATAACACCACTATTACGCAAACTAAGCATTGCTACATGCAACACGTAACAAATTATTAGTACTATAAATTAAATTATATAGTATTATTGTTAATTTTTTTTGTGACTATAAGATCAAAATATGAAAATTAAGATACTAAATACTTATATAATAAAAAATATTTATCAAAAATAAAATTTTAATTTAATTTATATATTTTTATTTAATATAAATAATAGAGTGTGCTTAGCTAAGAATAAATAAAAAAGAATAGGTTTCAATTGTTTTAGTAATAAATAAAAGAACAAAAACTAAATAAAACTTTATATTTAATTTTAAAGATAATCAAAATCTAAAATTTCATTATAATAAGATGTTAGTTTTACTACTTATATAAATTTTCCCGTGATAACTTAGTTTTTATCAAATATATATTGTGAGTGCTTGGAATATGAAAAGGGAATATAGAAAATGTGCATATCAATTAGCCCAAAACCCTAGCTTATATACAGGAATAAGTGGTCCAGATTGAAACCAATCTGACAGCTACCAAAATCTCATTATGATAATATTAGTATATGGCATTGTAGTTGTACACTTGGCCCTCACAATATCTATTACTTTGTAATATCAAAAATAATATTTTTATATACTATTGTAAGGTGTATAATTACAATGCCGTATACTATTATTAGCATAATGGGATTTTGGTAGATGTCAAATTTGTTTCAATCCAAACCACTTGCTCTTGTATATAAGCTAGGGTTTTTTGGCTAATTAATATATACATTTCTGTATTCTATTTTAATATTATACACTCACATTGGTGGAGATGAAGAGTAGTTGTGATTGTCTCTAAAAAATGCTTGGATTTGGAATTTTGTTTTAAATCTAGATTTTACATTGTCTAGATCTCCCTTTTCTTATAGCTTTTCTCAATTTTTATATTTTTTTTTTGTTCTTTCCTTTTTGTTCATCTTCATAGTAGAGTAGTAGCCTTCTCTTTCTTTGACTTTAGAGCAAAAACTGATGCAATTGCTTAATGCTATGTAGTTGCAGTTGAAGAATTAGACTTAGTTGATAGCAGCATATAATACAATGTTTTTTGCATTTACTACCAATCCTTGAGTCCGACTGGATGTTTTCTATAGGAATCATAGGGATGATGTGTACCATTGGTTCAATCACTTCATAATGATTCCCATATATCATTCTTGGGATGATGTTTAGCATTTGTGTGAATTTTCCATATGTCTTCAAAAGATAGCACTACAATGGTATAATGGTTTGAGCATAGCCACTCCTAAAGATTGAAGCATTCTCCTAGATGTTTTCAAATGCACATTTGGACATGCTAACAATTCCGATAATGCCCTCTTAAAGATTGGAGCATTTTCTTAAATGTTTTCAAATGCATATTTGGACATGCCAACAATTCTGATGATGCTTTCCAATAATTATATTGTCTTCGTCAAAGGTTATGCAATTTGGCATTCTGTTTCAAAGGCTTTTACTTTGTGTAGAGTCAAATATGTTAAAATGGATCAAGTTGGGAATGTTATACTTATCACTTTGTCAAAATCATGTACGACTTATGTATGCATTTGGTCCAGCCACCCTTGACAATGTTGTTCGTTTAACACAATGCTATGAGACATTTGTAAGTGACTAAATTTTTCCATTTTACTTTAGTCACTTAACCACACCTCCGACCACTTGGAGGAGTCTCACTCACAACCTTCTTAAGTCCAATTCAGGACTTGGGACTTGCTAGTCCCAAGAATGGCATCCATGCCACTCCTCCCTTGCACTTGGTCCAAGTGCTCCACGTGTCTAGTCCCAAGACCGATACCCAAAGGTACCACTGACATATTGGCCTGTTACGCTAAGGCCATGCCCATTCACCTTTGCCGCACTGGTGGGTCCAATACCACTTGCATCACCATCTCGTCTCTCCAAGACTAGGCCATCTATCCACAAGTGATTATCCCAGATCCACTCCTTAGCATCCTTAGGATGCCCACAGACATGGGGAATAGCCTTCCCCAACATCCCTTTGTCAGTTCCTGCCAAGTCCCTTTTCCGTCAATGGCCATGTTCACCAACACTGCCACTAGATCAAGGCCCGCAGGCCCGGCCACTAAGTCCCATTGTCCTCTGGGACTTCCTCACCATGTGACCGTATCCATAGTAACTACACTAGAGGATTGCTCCTCCTCCTTTCCCCCATTTGGGACTTCGGGACAACATTTTGGAACACCGTGGCCCTACGTGAGCTCCGTGGGTACTCTCCCCACCTTCCGCCTTTAGGTGCTCTAGCCATGGGCTTAGAGCGAGGTTCCGTTGAGCCACACCAGGTATCCAAGTAGGTAGTGCCACCCACACTTGGACTGGGAGCATCGGCCAGTCGATCTCCCGGGGGAACTAGAGCCGGCTCTTGAACACTTCACCAAGCTACCCTGCTTGTCAGTCCGTATTCACTCTAGTCTTGGACTTCCCAGTGGTCAATTCATCACCCAACACTGGGTCTGGCCTTCCTGGGCCAAACTGGCCTTTCCTGGCCAAACTGGCCTTTCCTGGCCAAACTGGCTCCACTGCAGTCCTCCCCCTTACTATACTTTTGGAGCTCACCAAACCCCTCAGGGTCTAGGAGACGAACGCTTTGGGCTTTCACCCTCTTAGACTCGAACATGGACTCGGATTTGGACTTGGACTCGGACTCGGACTCGGGCTCGGGCTCGGTCTCGGCCTCGGCCTCGGTCTCGGTCTCGGTCCCAATCTCGGTCTCGATCTCAGTCCCGGTCTTGGTCCCGGTCTCGGTCTCGACTTCGGACTCCATCTTGGGTCCATCTCGGACTCCACCTCGGGTCCATCTCGGACTCCATCTCGGGTCCATCTCGGACTCCACCTCAGGTCCATCTCGGACTCCACCTCGGGTCCATCTCAGACTCCATCTCGGACTCCACCTCGGGTCCATCTCGGACTCCACCTCGGGTCCATCTCGGACTCCATCTCGGGTCCATCTCGGGTCCATCTCGGACTCCATCTCGGATCCATCTCGGACTCCATCTCGGGTCCATTTCGGACTCCATCTCGGACTCCATCTCGAGTCCGTTTCGGGTCCATCTCGGACTCTGTCTCGGGTCCGTCTCGGACTCAATCTCGGATCCATCTCGGGTCCACCTCGGACTCCACCTCGGACTCCATCTCGGGGTCCTCTCGGACTCCACTTCGGACTCCAACTCAAGTCCATCTCGGGTCCATCTCGAACACTTCCACGTGTCATGTATTGGTCCTTTTGGGTCCCTTTTTGGATCCTCGCTTATTGCTCGCTTCGTGCTCATTCCTTGAGCACTTCGTTGGGAGTTCCACTCCCACTCTCGACCTTTTCAAGTCGGAGCTTTTAGTCCAAATGTGTTACGCTCGTTTGGCTTTCACTTCGGCCACTACCACGTGGCACCCTTTCGGCTCCACTTTTGGGCCTAGGGATTTTGTGTCTCACAACTCCACCACTCATAGATGAAGTTCGATGTCCTCATCGAACGATAAACTATTTTATAAAGTAATACCAACTTGTATTACCATTTCCATCTTTGGCCCCTCGCCAATATTCGTCAATGGTCTGATATTGAAGGCTCATCATGCCTTCCCCATCCTCTAAGGAGTGTAGTCTCTCCAACTTAAAGACTGATTGGACCACTTGTGGTGGTTCTCTCCTTTTTACTGGTTTAGTTCTCACTAAACTTGTTAGAGACACCTTCTCTAACTCAATCCCACTACTCATTCTCGAATGGTCTCACTTTCCATCAATATAACCCTTTGCACTTTGGAACCTTTTAATTTTGACTTCTCAGAGTCAATTTCCTAGGTGTTTAGGCACCATCATCCTCTCTTCAATATCGTGCCACCCTTGGCACTAAGTTCTAGCTATCGTAATTCGTGCTAGGGTTGTCCATGGCCCTATCATTTGGCTACTTTACCACTCCATCCCTTGGAGCTTCCCCCTTCGCCAAATCGGAGCAATTGGGAATCTATCCTTGGAAACACATTG